TTTTATGTATCTGCGGTTGAAAAATAAAAAATAATTAAACAGATGAATTATATCTCACGCGGTTAAGGCGTACGAACCACTGACCAACACAGTAAATAAGCACAGATCCTTGTATTTATTTAACATAGAATTGAAAATTTTTTTTAAATATTTAATAATTTTAATATAAAATTTATTAATTTAATTTTAATGTATTTTATTTTAATTTTTTAAATTTAATATCGAAATTCCAATTTAGTTATGATTGTAATTATATATGTAGTTTAATTCTTTTTATAGAGTTTATATATGTTAATAAGGCTTGTGGTTAAAGACATTCACCTAGTTCTTATATGTTATATATTACATGTCATATATATATTATATGTCATATGTTATAATACGACATAAGTCACAGTTTATTAAAGCTAAAACAACATAGTTGTGCTGCAGTTTATATAATGGTAATCAAAAGCATTGTTGAAACTGTTAAACTATATTTACTTCGTTCCCCAATGTTTTTTAAAAGCGTTAATATCAGCCTCATAGGTATATAAATTAAAAATAATTTTTTTAAAACGAAGTAAAATAATTACAATATTAGTCTTAGGATAAGACACTATTATTTTTACGAATATGATTTATATCTGTAGAACCACTCGCAAATATATATCAACAAAATATATTGTATATATCTTCTCTTAGTTTAAAATCCAGTGCCTTGTAAATAATATGTCATTTGAAAAAATTGATTTTCAGATACTAGCAATTACAAATCAAGTGAAGATATTAACAGAAATGAAAATACTTCGAAAGTCGTAAAGTAGTTAAATTTACGAAAATAGCAAAAAATATTACATCAACCTATGAAAAGAATAGGTTGAAACTTCAAACTTTCGAAATAACAAACAACTTAACTTAAACTATATATGGAATACTGACTTCTGTAATCCAAAGAATAAAAAATTTGATACATACATCTACTTAGAACAGATCATAACTGAATAAATGACTGCGAAAGAAAATATAGACGCATATATGTATACAACAATATATATATAAATATTGTATATATAACCATATACGTATGTAATATTATATATTCTAAAAATGTATAGAAAATCTTCTTTAAGCGCTCTCTAAGCATATCCTTATTAAGTTCCTACCAGTCAGATATATTCATCCAACCACCGAAAACAAATGTAGGTAAGAGTTTCGAAACGGAATAGTTTAACAGCCTCTTCGCATTCGGGTTTGGCACCTGATTACGCTAGTACAAAATTCTGAAAACTTATCTGAGAATCAGTTATATGGAATCAGATTTCTTTTGTTCTTATCTGTACTTTGATAATAACTTTACCAGCAGAACTCGTAGAGGAGATTGAAAAGCGGAATTGATTTCAATACAGCAAAAGTAGCAATTTACACTGTTGCATCTTCAATATAACACGGTGGTCTATTCGGTCTATTTGTGTTATGTCGGGCGTCTCCAGAAGGCCTTTTGTTATTTTAAAAGTAATTTAAATACTATTTTAGTTATTAAGAGAACACAATTTTGGTGTTTTTGGTAATTTCACAAATTAGGTCATTGTTATTTAGATAGTCCGTTATTTCACGTCTAGTTATCCGAGATTCTAAGGTATACTTGTATAATTTATAAGTTCTATGATATGTACAAGACCATGTTATAAATTAAATTAAATATTTATTGAAAAAAATACTAAATTTCCTTTTATAATTAAGGTACAATAATTAAGTCCTTATGAGGAAGGAACGATCTTACAACTATTTTCAAACTCAATAATGTTTTAATCTGTATTGGAAATTTAAAAATTATGTTAATCGCTTATTCATTCCTTTCAACCATCAGATGTGATGAAATCGTTCACTGTATCTGTGAATACGTGCTACACGTCAAGAAAAATCAATTGGAATCACTTTTGATTTTTCAGACCGCTTCTTTCAAGCGCTTTTTGGGTGGGAGGAAGAGCAGTTGCTGCTTTTGATATTTGCTCCCGTAGTATTTGCATGGGCCACATGTGATTCAAAGGCAATTTGCATTCGATTTCGCAATTGGATCCACGATTTTAGCTATGCTGAGATCAGTTGAACTTAACATGACGTAACGCTGCCCTCAGGTGTGACTTTGCATTATTTGTATATTTTATTTTATTTAAATTTAATGTATCTCAGTTAAATTTGATTATGTTTGCAACTGTGTTCGGCTGTCAAAACGTCGATGTGGATTTGTTTATTTGCTTATTTGCCTGCAAATTGGAAAAATATGCACAAAATGTCATTTGCAATTTGATTGCTTTGCTTATTGGATTTCTTTATTTAAAGTCAAGTAAGTAATTTTTCAATTGGATTATGTGGGTTACTTGGGTGACTTGGGTTACGACGGACTGCCCGCTGCGATATATGAGTAAGCATTTAAAATAACATTTTTCATATAAAATTTCAGCAAATATTTCTTTATTAGATTATTGGTCAATTGACAGCAGTTATTTGTTAATTAAACGTTTATTCAAACTGTCTGAGAACACGCCTTCTCGAAATTTTCTTATAATATTGTTAATATATTTTATTGGTTTATGCTTTTAATGGAAATTTTATATGACATGACTGTATGGCAAGAGACACTAGTTTACAGTTTCAGTACATAGTTTTGAAGAGTCCATAAAATTATTTAAAACAAGTTCTGTTTTTACTAATTCGTTTCGTAATTAAAAATTAAACAATAAAATTCTACGACTCTCCCTTTAATGACCATTTAAAAAAGAATAAAACTTAATTACAACAACAAATGTTTCATCATTTTATGACTATGAAATTTATTTTATTGCGACTAATTTAAGTTAAATCAAGGCACATTAAATTTTCAACAGGTACACTTTTTTTATTGACTTCAAAATTGTATATCCAAGGCAGTAACTCTCTCTTTCTCTCTCTCTCTCTCTAATCATGTAACATTAACCCTTCTACATATTTTAGGTGACTGATCTTAACTACTCAAAATTTACAAGAATTTTATGATCTCGAAGTATTTTATTTCCTTTAATTTCAATTTAAATTTTACGATCACTACGCTTCGTTAATTTTAGGCCGCTTAACTTTTAATGTTTTTATATATAAATATTTGTATTGGTCAGTTTATAATTCTTTAATTTATTAATTTATTCTCGATTTATTTATAAATTTTTGACTTTGAAATGCTACTAATTTTACTACTTATTTTTTGAAATTTTATATACGTATTATAGTACTACTTTCATTTATATACTGTTAAAGATCTAAAACCTAAATTGTGCTAAATTTAATTGGTATACCAGTATATCTTTAAATGAGCTGGAAAGATTTTTGCGCACCGACATAATATTATTTTCTAACCAGCAATATTAATAAGTTACAAAGCCATCTTCTAATTTAAGACCATTTAGATTATTGATTATATATTATTTCTTGACATAAAAAATACCATTGAAGCAATACATGGCTAGATTAGCAATGCTACAGAAAAACCACAAAAGCACCAAAAAAAAATCACCTTATTAATTTATTCAATTTATACCGTGAACCTCTCGGATTATTCAAAGCAATGCAATTACTCCGAAAACATGAAAAAAGTCAATATAGTTCCTCTAACTAAACAATAATAGATGATATTTTAATATTGAAAATGCAATTATTTATTTAGAGGTTAAAAATTTTTAAGCATAATTAGGCATTTAACTTTCTTATCTTGAACATTTTAAGTGCTGTTAACAAGCACTCTTGTTTGTTTTAACCATTTTTAATACTGTTAAAAGTTTTGCTTGAGTTTTCCACATTTTATGTTTTTATACTGTTTGTTTTACTAACTATTTATGATGCTTGAATATTGGGAAGTAACTCCACGGAACGGAGAAGATCCATTTTCAATACTTTCCCAGATACAGGCTTTTTGAACAAACTCTAACATAAAATAATTGTATAGTCAAATAACCCTTTGTAGCTCTAAAACGATGGCTTTAAATAGCTCAAGTAGTACACTTATCCATTAAAAATCTTTTAATTCAACTCCGAATTCATTTTTGTACCTAAATATCTATAAAAATGAAATGCTTTAAATTTGATTTCTTTTAAAAATTGTTTGGTTATAGTATTCTTGAAATTCATTAAGTTATTTTTCATATAACAATACCTTATGTATAATAAAAAATTTCAATCAAAAAATATGTTTCTTCTATTTTTCTTCTTTTCTTGTATGGCCCTTTGAAGCCAGCAACCGACTATATAATGGAAGATACATACATATGTTTTGCTTAATTTTGCTGCTGTCAGGTTATAACTTTGCTCGTTTTATCAGCTTTTAGTGCTGTTAACTGGTTAGTAAGAAAGATATCTTCTCCAATAAAGTGAACGTAGAAATATTTCTGCGCAGATGATCTTTGTCCTCAAAACATATATGAACTTAATCCACGGTTTTGTGTATATGTATGCATACGATTATAGAAATTGTTTACAGAAATTGAGATATGTTGTGTGTCCAAGCCTTTTATTTTAAGTTCCATAGACTTTTTCAATAAAAGCAAGTATAACTCCATTATCTTAAATATTAAATCGAATATAAAAGTAGCAACCCCTTATTATGAACTATGAGTTTTATATTTTATTAAAATAACTGATCAATGCCGAAGGAACTATTGAATATTAATTGGTGTCTGTCTGTCTGACTGATCGCGTTAAATGAATATTTCATTTTCGATTGACAAATCTGGATCAAAACTTATAATGTTCGAAATTAATTTATAACACTCTAGATATTTTGCCAGAATATCAGGATTACTCTGCAATTAACATCAATTTTATAAAATTTTGACAGATAAATTGTAGATCAATATGTTTTTTTATATTACGTGAAGTCTTTCTTTTTGATTTAATAAAAAGAAAACCAGATGATTCAGTTTTTGTCAATATTTGTTAACATTATAATTCACAAATTTAAATTTGAAAATCTTTAATTATATATGCGAAAAATATATTAAACATTATAATGGCCTATGTTAGGAATCTTTAAGTTATTAATTACCTAATATTTTACCTCACATTCATGGTAGATTTTACTTTTTAAATAAATTATTTACTTATATCATTCACCCCCGTCTTGAATTTCATTTTCTTCTTCTATTTCTTACTTTATGGCTTCTTCACTTTCTAGTAAATTATCTAACTTTGTACTTCAGTTTCGTCAATATCTTCATTTTTATCTGCAATATCAGTTTTTTCTTCCCCGTCTTCAATATCTACTTGTTCTCTTTCCTCTTCAATATCCACTTTTTCCAGCTCATCAGTAACATCAGTATGATCCTGTTTTTCTTCATTTTCAGTTTCAGCATTTCCTTCTTCCTCATCAACTTCACTTCTTTCTTGTGCGTCTTGTTTTTCTTGTACTTTTTGTGCTTTCTGTATTTTTTGTACTTCTATCTGTTTTTCTGTTTCTTCTTCGCTTTGTGTTTCAATTTCATAGTCTTCGCTCATCTCATCACTTCCAACTTCAACATCCTCAGATATCTCTCCTATTTTTTTTTGTGACGAAGTATCAGTTGCATTCTTCAAGTTTTTTCCAATTACGTATGTTGAATCATACAATTCAACTCCACTACTCAAATTTTCAGTACCACTTATGGTATGTTCATAACTGACGAAATCGGTAATGGTTGGTGTTTCTTCTAGAATAGTGGTGCGAGTCGATATTGGGAATGTTGAAGCTCGAAGTATTGAAGATTTTCGCCTTTTTTCCGAAGAATCATCATCTGAACTCCACATATGTCCACACATTTTATCCAATATGTTAATATTACTTTTAACTGAATGTAAGTCATATTCTTCTGAAGACCATTCTTCATCATACATTTCATCATAGTCTTCTGATGTTACTTCGGTGGGCTCCACTTTTTTTTTTACCACTTTTTTTATCATTGTGTCCCAAATGTCCTCGCTATCCATTTTTTCTTTTGATCTTTGAATATCGTATAAATGCGGTTTTCGTACCGGACAAATTTTTTCAAATGTACCTGCCATTATCTGATTTTTGTCCATTTTTCCAAATACGTCATCTAACAGATCACTAACATTGTTGTCAGCTACTCTTTCAGTTGAATCCATCCATCGCCTTCCGGGTACAGCATATCTGATAACTTTCCGCAAAATAGCTTTTGCTTCCTTTCTAGCCACTCTACATGTGCACTCTTGAATACAGTCGCAATCAGATTGGCAATCATTCGAAAAGTAATATAAGTCGTTATCAATTCCTCTATCAATTGTTTCATTCAGAATTGATTCAGTTATATCAAAGGACTCGAAGAGTCTCTCAATGTATCCTAACAAATCATCTTCAATTATACCTCTAACAATCTCTTTGCTCTCAAAATGAGCACGTGCTTTCTTTCTATCAGGGAATACCATGTCCTTTAGCAAATATCGTAATTTATCGAAATTCAGTGGATGTTGAATTGTTTTAAAGCTATCCAACCATCGACTAAGGTCCTTGTCAATATCCTTAGCAATTGCAATAGCTTCTTCTTTGGCTCGGAAGGATGATGTTCTATCTTCAACAAATACTGCATTAAAGAACTCATCGTCCTGTGAAGAATCACAGAAGTCATACACTTGCTCTAATAAGATACGCAAGTTGTTTTCTTTTTGCCTCATTCCGGCTTCAGCCGCCTCTCGACGCCAACGTTCCTTAAGTGCTAATATTCCAATAAAATGGAACTTTCGTTGTTCTTCTAAACGACCCATTTCTTCAGTCAAAAATCTCATCAGCCAACCAATTGTTGAACCAGTGTATTCCGCCAATATGCCTTCCAACTCTTCTTTACGCCGTTCTTTATTAAGCCTCGTAATAAATGCCTTAGGATCAAATATTTTATGTGAACGTTCTTTTTCAGGTGGTGGCGGAATTGGTTTTATTAGTATAACCATCCTTGGTGGCGGTGGCTTTGGAGGTTTCGGTGGCGCCACATCAATAGTTGATCTCTCTCTTTCTATTAGACATTTCGGGTGAATACGTTTCTTATTGAGTGCTTCATCATGTATTGACTATATGTATTGAAATAGTACCAGTATATTTTTAAGGAATCTAAAAAAAATGCATTCTTACCTTTAGTGTATCATAGAGTTTCTTAAGATTCTTATCGGAGCAGAAGTTCTGCTCAACCTCAGTAAGCAATTGTTTAGGCTTTGCCCAGCGTTTCAACTTAGCGAATGGACAAACCAAATTCTTCATATTAACAACCTTGTTTTCCAAATCAGCCATGCGAGCCTCATATGCCATACGTCCACCAGTAAAATGTAAACGTTTTGGATTTACACCAAAACGAATGTGAGGTGCATAGAACTCAGATCCGGGGTAGCTTAATTCGTGTGTTATGTTTCTACTTTCAGAACTGAGCTTTTTCTTTTCTATCTGCCACTCAATACGCCTCATTTCTCGTTTGTGCTCTACGTTGATCTTTTTCACCTCTTTATCGTATGCAGCTAACAAACGGTTCGTTGTGAGAGTTACACGCAAATCAGATCTGGTGATTATTTCTTTCTCACGCTTATTGAACATGCGTATCACTATTTCCAGACGTAACATCTGACATTCCTGTATGTACTCCTCGCGTGCAATCCATTGCTCCCACTCGAAAGCTTCTAAAATTTTTTGATGTTTGGAAGCATGAATTAACTCCTTTTGAGTTTTAACTTCCTGCCGAAATTGTTCTTTTAGTTCCTTTAAAAAGTCCCATCGTTTTCGCTCTCGTTCCAATACTTCTACTTCATAAACCCCTGGACGTTTCACACCATCCAAAAGTTTTGGTAGTTTGAATAGCTCAAGTCTAACAAACTCTTCTGGATCATTTTTTACTTCTGGCAAATACGGTACTGTTTGTGCAGATGAAACGCTGAAAACAAGTAATGTGTTAGAATCTCTTAATATCGGAAAAAAGTGATCATTGAAAATCACATAATCGTGACAAAAGATCATGAGTGTAATGTCAAACGAAAATAATTCAGAACTGTGAATTTCTGATCAAGGTTATTAACGGTTTTCATAAAGCCACAAATATTTCAAAATATATGATTTCTCTTTATAGAAGATATTAAAACTCTGTAATGTAGGTATTGCTGTAACACTTAAACCGTTTTAATACTAATTTATATTAATTTAACACTAAAGATTTACCGATAAATAGTTTGAGTACCACGAGTGACAGGCCCCACTTTTACTTCTTTTTCAGGCTTCTTTGGTTGAGGAAATTCCAAATTGATGATGTTAAGCTTACTTGGTCGTTTGGGCAATTTTACAGGTACGTTGACACTGCAATCTCTGGGCGCCTTTCCTAGGTTACGTGTAAGTTTATCAAGCACTTCAAATTCACCGATACCTGTTGAAATATATATCATAAAAATTAATCGTTCTACATAATTAAGCTTATTTTACCTCCAGTTAAACGCTCTGAAATATTAATCGATGAATCACTATAAATAGAACTTTCCGAAGTAACACTTTTGTCATCGAAATCCTCCTGTCCATATTGCAACTTTTTATTCAGAGAAATTTTACTTGGTTTGTAATTGGGTTGCTTTCCCATTGGTAGAGGATCCGGTGAAAAATTATATATTTGATTCGCAGATTTGGTATGAAAATTATTTTTAACTGGATTATTAGTTGGTTTCTTAGATTTTCCATTCCTGATGGTGGTTTTATTAGTCTTATACTCCGCTGCTAAATCACCTTCAATGTTTAGTAATGTATTGCTCTTGTTACTGCACAGGAAGCTCGCACTCCTTGAACTGAAACAGTTGGTGCTATCATCGTGGCTAGTTAGTTCTGAGGTTTTATATCTTTTATTCATTTTCTGCATGTCCAAACAGTGAGTAAAGTAAGATATGTGGATTTATGATTGTACTTTAATGTCATATTTCCTTAAGTGCAAAAAATAAAAAAATTTATTTTAAAAGAACAAAAATTATTTTAAATATTTTTAAGAACATAAAATCATTGCTTATTAAATTTCAATTTAAATTTATAAAAGGATTTATTTCTTTTTGTGGAAAAAGTATATAGTAATTATTCTCGCCAATAGATTGGTGCTTGCACTTTCTTTTTAAATTATTACTAATTGACCAATTTAATTCCTTAATTTTAAATGCCATGTATTTGCAGGTACTAGAATTTTGAAATAAATTGAATTTAGTCCCCAAATAACTCTGACATCTCTTCTTATTAGTGAGTCTCTGCAAAGGAAATTTAGTTATTGAATTTGAAGTTTTCGAAATCAACTTACTTTAAAGCAGACTGGTTTTAATCAATTCTTGAAATGAATTAGTACAATGCAAAAGGACTTTAATAAATGTTAAATACAATGTTCCAATTTTATTCCACGAAATCTTTGTTTTGTCCAGACTGCAATCAGTGCATAAAATTGTACTTTTATTTATTAGGATACAGTAGTCAACTAGGACACACCTTCCCAATCCTTTTCACTGTAATATGCAGTCCATAATATAATTAATTTAATGAATAAGACATATTTACACTAACTCAAATCACCTTTGCACAGAGTGCAATTCTTCTGTAATTTAAGGTGCAGTGTTTTGGTAATACTTAAGTAATACTAAATACTAAATTAATACTAAATTACTTAATATTAAAATACTAAATTAAAACTTAATACTAAATTGTTAAGTTTTCTGTATTCGATCGGATGAAATCAAAATAAATAAAAATTTAAGGCATAAGGATAAATCCTTCAAACTTGAGAGAAGCTTGTTGAAAAATTCGAATAGCATTTTACCAGGAAAAAGAACATATTTGTCATACGAGTATGAAGTTTCATTATCAAGTAAATAAAGGTTAAGAGATGACATTAAAGTAGGTTACGTATAAAATAGTTTGGGAGCAATCCGAAATGTATATCTAACCGAAATGTATGTAACCTTTATCAATCAAAGAGGTCACAATCAAAGAGATTAGTAACCAATTGGTTCTCTCGCGTTATTTCGATAGAAAAAAACCCTGACAATACTATTGCCAACCAGCTTAGAGTAGTTGCTTAAAATTTGTAACTTCAGTTAAAGAGATATACTACACCATATTTAAGATTCAAAACTTTTTGGATAATGATGCCATTTAAGCATAATAAGTTAAGATTTTTGGGCTAATCCCACATTCCGAACGCAATTTGACAATGGATTTCAGTTGAGTCAGCTATTTGAAACAACTTCTCTTAAGCCCCACCTCTAACAATTCGAGAATACGTGATTTCTCTTAGTGAGTTAGCTAGACATGTCAGTATCCAACTCACATGAGTTCCTAGATATGGAATATCACGAGTAACTGTTGGGTGTCGGGTTCATTTCTCAGGTATTACCATCCCACTTGCAACAATTAAACTGACAATCAAACAAAAATATCTGAGCATAGCCAAGCAAAATTGGGCAAATGAATACAGCTGTCAGATCTGTCGATTGAATATGTCTAAACTGGATGATAAATGATACCAGTCAGCTACTTTAACTAAGACGTAACTTACTCAGCACTACTGAGCAGGTGCTGACCCTATAACGACTTTTGTCGTGGTTGTGGTTCTGCGAATGAGAAGAACACAGTGATCCACTTGTTCATTTCGGATTCGTCCCTTTCGAAAACGAGAACTTTAAAATTGTATTATGCACTTAGACAGTTCTAGAGATTAAATTATCATTTTCATCCTTACATTACATTATGGCACATTTTGGGAATAAAATGTTTTGCGCACAACTTATACTGTAAGAACTCGGTTTTTTTTAAAGGAGCTTTGACAGTAGGTTATTAAATACATGAATTCGCTGTTTCTATTAACTACTCTTTAATAAACTCGTGGATATACAAGATATAAACAACCCTACAGTCTTTGGTCCTGGAAACGAAACAAAACCCAAAAAACTATGCATAACTGAAAATCTTAAAGAATTTAATTGATGAATTAAAAAAATATATGCTATAAAGATATATAAGCGTAAGCGATAAGGATAATTGATGAATAAATTTTTAAATTCCAGATGCTTTTTGTAGATTTTACATTCGCAAACCCCAAGCAATGAAATACACTTCCTAGAAATTGGGTCATATATTTACTTTCATTTTCCATTAAAAATTAAACTTCACTAATTAAACACGTTGAGCCTAAAACTTCATTATTTTTCTTAATTACACTTAGCAAAGTACTTAATCCTGGAAGTACTGAAAGGGCAATATAAGGAGAAAAAAAATATAATGGAGGTTAATTGCTTTAATCTCTGCGCCTTAGGCACCTTTGGGTATTTCCAATGGTACATTTATATTTGATACTGTCATAATTCACTAGCTTAATATCATGCCAGCTTAAATGAAATCATTTAAATATTAATAAATATATTGTAAATATTAATAAAAAATTTAAAATAAATTAATTAAAATTTAAATTATTTTACTTATGAACATAAAACTTATCAATATACATGCATAAGATTATTGAAATAGTATCTGAAGGATGAAAAATTTCAATAATTTTGCTATTCTAGAAATTATTAAGTATGCTCCTGACTTTAATATTGTAAGTTGAAACTCATAAAAAATGAATAATAAAATTTGCGCCCTCCGAAAACATTTTCCTTCGTGCAGTCATTAAAAATGGTATTCACATTTTAATAACCATTTCACCATATGGCTGCGAGTGATCCACACTAGGATTATGGCCAATAATTGCGATTATTATTGTTATTCGTAATGAAGACATACGCAAAGAGATTTCTAATTATCTCACGTGTAACCTAAAAACTCAATTTCGCATTCTGCATCTGAGAAATGAATTCTTATTAAGACGGAAACTTTATATTGGCACCGAAGAAAGTAGCGCAAATTGCTCATAAAAATGGAAACATCTTATAAACGAGAATAGATAAAGGCAAAATGAACGAATACTAACGACTTTCATTGTTATTTCTCCGCATAAAAGTACAAGCATGGAAAATTAATAGAAAGAAAATTTAATTGAATTTATATCTGAGGGGCATGTTTCAGTGCAAGACACACACAATTGAGATAAAATTGATTTTAATCGCATGCCATTCGCAACAACCTTTTCCCATTCGAGAATTATAACACATAAAAGTGCTGTCGTCTTCATCTGGTTTTCAGCAAAGCATTGAACAAAATTCTAATTGTTTGAAGATTTTCCTCTAATTACGAGATAATAAAAGTGATTTAACTTTTAGAAACTTCAGTCTTGCAATTGGATTCCTAGTTATATTTATGGATGATAGCTTAGTTGGACGTGGTATACAAGAACAACTACAGAAGTTGAGGATTATAGATATAAAACTCACAAAAAAATATGAAAAGCATAGGTACCAGTGATTCCTTTTGTAATGGATCTGTCCATGCTTAACATAAAGAAGCTACTTGAAACTATGGTAAGTCAGAAATATTTCGAATTGCTTCATTTGTTATGAGAATCTCAATGTACAAAATTCTTAACGTTAGTGATTAAAGACCTTATTGTTTTCGTATAATTCCATTTTGCTGAAAATGTTTCCAAGTAAACTTTTAATCCATTCGTACATTATTTTACATATTTCTTTCGAAATAATTATAAATAATGTTTCGACTCCTATACTTTTTACAAGGGTACTGCTACCCTTGTTAGTCGTCTTAGATATTACACTCAGAATATAAAAACTTAGGAAAATTTTATATCTAGTTTATTCACACAATGCAAATTTTTGAATTCATGAACCTCAACTTCAAATTTCTAATATTCCGATTCATTCAGAACCCCTTAAGTGATAATCCAGTAAACTGATTTACTTACTAAAGCAAAATCACAAAAAATTCTCCACTTTTTCCTTGCGATCCTATTTTAAGTTTCTTAAGGTAGAAATACAAATAAACATTTATAGGGAAAACTCAACTCTATTTCCAGAAAAGGGGCTAAGACTGTGATCTGTTTCGAAGTAAGTAATACTTGAAACTATTCTTGTTGTATAAAAGTACACGATGATTTAGATCACATTTATCTATACAAGGTGGAAACACTTGCCTACTTGCAAAAAAAATAAACACTGTTCAATATTAACACTTTTTATCTACTACTAATGGGAATTGTAATTCTTCTATTAGTTGAAACTGATTCGAAATTTTTTGAAGCCATTTCAGGAATATAATTCACGATTTGGTAGATCTAATGTAACAAATACTTGAGCCGGACAAACGCCAACGGGACATGATAAAATTTAATATCCAATATCTCTTGGAATAGTCTTATAATTTGTAAAAGAAGGATGTGAAAAAAATAAAATCATAATTAAGTAATCAGTTTATATAGTTAAACGTTGCTATTCATACAGCAGTGCGTAAATTCTTCTTAACACTTCTAATTTCCGCCACCAAATGTTGCCATTTAATTTAATTTGTCACGTATTCGATTAGTTATGGTCACATTATCGTAGCTGCCACCCACGCATAACGCATATATGGGTAGACATTTACTTACGACATATTGACTAAAAAAAAAAAAACAATCACACGTTTTCAGTAAAACATACTAAAAACGCAACAAAAACAAAATAGGAAGGATGTATTTAAAATTTAAAACCGTCCAATTTTTCATTTTAAAACCAATTGTTATAGACACTAGTTATAGACACTAGTTAATAGTAGTCGTCGAGGGGCAGAGGCAACGAAATTCAGACAGCACCACCCACTTTCAACCTGTTCGTCACTGGTAGCTGCTCCGTGTCTTAGCAACTGCAAATGGACTTGCGGCTTCTGCGTTGTCTGTAGAGTCAACTTTTCTGCAAATTTATGCGCATCACGCTTTCTCATTTTTAAAATGACTAAATATCATTTACACTTAATGTCAGCAATTTTTATACGACATGTTGCATTGCGGCTAAGCCCAGCTCAGCTCAACTTGCAAGCGTGCCACCGCA